TCGCATGGGACCCCACTTGTTGTGCAGCCCCCCCCCAGGCATCATCAGCATGTAGGCAGTGTTTCGCCTGCCTAGGGACTTTCTCAGACCATTGCAAGAAAGTCTTCATCAGATTCATTAAACTGTTATTATTGATTGCCTTGTTGTCCTTTCTCATCGGTCTTCTCCTGAATGTTTTCACTGATCTTTTATAATGGATCTTGGTGCTGGGAAATATCCAATGTGATGATGGTACAGTTTGTTAGCAGGCTGTAGGGAGGACAAATGTGGCAGCACTGATATGTAAATGGAAGTTAAGATCTCTAGCAGTCTTATATACAGTAACATGTATCCAATTCCCCCAATCTCTGACCATCTGCTGTATTATGTCTGCAGTCTCAAATTATCTCTAGAAGTATGTCCAAAGTCTCTGATTATCTCCTGTAGCATGTCCACCGTCTCCGATTATCTCTGGAAGCATGTCCACAGTCTCCGATTATCTCCTGTAGCATGTCCACAGTCCCTGGTCATCTCCTGTAGCATGTCCAAAGTCTCTGGTCATCTCTGGAAGCATGTCCACAGTCTCTGATCATCTCCTGTAGCATGTCCACAGTCTCTGATCATCTCCTGTAGCATGTCCACAGTCTCTGATCATCTCCTGTAGCATGTCCACAGTCTCTGATCATCTCCTGTAGCATGTCCACAGTCTCTGGTCATCTCCTGTAGCATGTCCACAGTCTCTGGTCATCTCCTGTAGCATGTCCACAGTCTCTGGTCATCTCCTGTAGCATGTCCACAGTCTCCGATTATCTCCTGTAGCATGTCCACAGTCCCTGGTCATCTCCTGTAGCATGTCCAAAGTCTCTGGTCATCTCTGGAAGCATGTCCACAGTCTCTGATCATCTCCTGTAGCATGTCCACAGTCTCTGATCATCTCCTGTAGCATGTCCACAGTCTCTGGTCCTCTCCTGTAGCATGTCCACAGTCTCTGGTCATCTCCTGTAGCATGTCCACAGTCTCTGGTCATCTCCTGTAGCATGTCCACAGTCTCTGATTATCTCCTGTAGCATGTCCACAGTCTCTGATTATCTCCTGTAGCATGTCCAAAGTCTCTGATTATCTCTGGAAGCATGTCCACAATCTCTGATTATCTCCTGTAGTATGTCCACAGTCTCGGATTATCTCCTGTAGCATGTCCACAGTCTCTGGTCCTCTCCTGTAGCATGTCCAAAGTCTGTGATTATCTCTGGAAGCATGTCCACAGTCTCTGATTATTTCCCGTAGCATGTCCACAGTCTCTGACCATCGCCTGCAGTATTGCTGCAGTCTCTGACCTTCTCCTGTAGTATTTCTACAGTCTCTCTCTTTCTCCTGTAGTATGCCTGCAATCTCTGATTATCTCCCGTTGTACATCTGCAGTCTCTGATTATCTCCTGTAGTATGTCTGCAGTCTCTGACCATCTTTTCAGAATGTCTGCAGTATCCAACCACCTACTTTAGTGTCTGCAGTCTCTGATTATCTCCTGTAGTATGACTGTATTCTCTGACCATCTTTTTTATTTTCTACAGTCTCTGACCATCGCCTATACTATATCTTCAGTGTATGACCATCTCCTGTACTATGTGTGCAATCTCTGACCTTCTCCTGTACTATTTGTACAGTCTCTGACAGTCGCTGACCATCTCCTGTACCACGCGCCGCAATCTGATTATCTCCTGCAGTACGTCTGCAGTCTCTGATTATCTCCCGTAGCATGTCTAGTCTCTGACCATCTCCCATAGTATGTTTCCAGTCTCTGATTATCTCCTGTAGTATGTCCGCAGCCTCTGACCATCTTTTTTAGAATGGCCACAGTCTCTGACCACCTACTCTAGTGTCTGCAGTCTCTGATAATCTACTGTAGTATGACTGTATTCTCTGACCATCTCCTTTAATATGTCTCCAGTCTCTGACCTTCTCCTTTAATATGTCTCCGGTCTGTGACCATCTCCTGTAGTATGTCTCCAGTCTCTGACCATCTCCCGTAGTATGTCACCAGTCTCTGACCATCTCCCAAAGTATGTCTCCAGTCTCTGACCATCTCCCAAAGTATGTCTCCAGTCTCTGACCATCTCCCAAAGTATGTCTCCAGTCTCTGACCATCTCCCAAAGTATGTCTCCAGTCTCTGACCATCTCCCATAGTATGTCTCCACTCTCTGACCATCTCCCGTAGTATGTCTCCAGTCTCTGACCATCTCCTGTAATACGTCTAGCACTAAATAATAAGCATACCCCTTTGGTGTGTCTGGGGATGCAGTTGAGGCCCCCACTTTCTCATCAGTTGACCATCACTGGGATACAGTCACAAACCAAACTGTATGTCCGTAAAATAAATGGAGTGTATGAGAGTCAGAATAAGCCCTTTGAAGGCCTCGTTCACAAATGCTGCAGTCCCTTTCTCCCCTCTTTAAAGGAGCCATGGTGGATCCTAGAAATCAAAGCACCCAAATGTTTGACAAATCCATTATTAAAAAAAAAAATAAAAATAAAAATCCCCAAAAAAGTCCCTCACCATAAATTTATCATCATCATCACAATGTCCACCATCTGTCGACTCACCGTTTAAGTTGTCATCAAAATACAAAACAGCTGAGCTGATGCACACAATCAATTATTTTTCTGCATAAGCTGAATAACGTTTAAGTTGTCATCAGCTCTATAAGGAAGATGTGAGATTAGTGGTGACATCACTGGCCATATATGCCATGGGAGTATTTGGGGAATGATTGGCAATATTTCCCAAGTATGACCATTTATCCATAATTTGAAAAATGATGTAACATTCCCTGTCCATTTGCCTATGTGTGACCGGGAGTTCTCGGACATGTACAGTAAGTGAATCAGTAGGATGTAGGACAGTGTACAGGGGTCGGTAGGATGTGGGGCGGTGTACAGGGGTCGGTAGGATGTAGGGCGGTGTACAGGGGTCGGTAGGATGTGGGGCGGTGTACAGGGGTCGGTAGGATGTGGGGCGGTGTACAGGGGTCGGTAGGATGTGGGGGCGGTGTACAGGGGTCAGGAGGATGTGGGGCGGTGTACAGGGGGGTCGGTAGGATGTAGGATGTATAGGGGTCGGTGTACAGGGGTCGGTAGGATGTAGAGCGGTGTACAGGGGTCGGTAGGATGTAGGGAGGTGTACAGGGGTCGGTAGGATGTGGGGCGGTGTACAGGGGTCGGTAGGATGTGGGGCGGTGTACAGGGGTCGGTAGGATGTGGGGCGGTGTACAGAGGTCGGTAGTATGTAGGGCAGTGTACAGAGGTCGGTAGGATGTAGGGCAGTGTACAGAGGTCGGTAGGATGTAGGGCAGTGTACAGGGGTCGGTAGGATGTAGGGCAGTGTACAGAGGTCGGTAGGATGTAGGGAAGTGTACAGAGGTCAGTAGTATGTAGGGCAGTGTACAGAGGTCGGTAGTATGTAGGGCAGTGTACAGAGGTCGGTAGTATGTAGGGCAGTGTACAGAGGTCGGTAGGATGTAGGGCAGTGTACAGAGGTCGGTAGGATGTAGGGCAGTGTACAGGGGTCGGTAGGATGTAGGGCAGTGTACAGAGGTCGGTAGTATGTAGGGCAGTGTACAGAGGTCGGTAGGATGTAGGGCAGTGTACAGAGGTCGGTAGGATGTAGGGCAGTGTACATTTTTAACCGAAACCGTACTTAAATCGAAGGTGATATTAGGAATGTCGGGGCTTTTAAACACAAAAGAGACTTTATGGCGACTCAAACGTGTAATAACAACATGTAGTGGATAATCTAAAGGACCCCTCATGTCTCCCCTGTGCGGCCCTGAATGTAATACAGTGCACATCACACACCGCATTACATTCTTTCCCAGCCTCCATGGCCAGGAATCTCTTAATGGGGACCCGGAAGTGACATCATAACGTCACTTCTGAGTCAGGACAAGAAGGGGAGGTGAGCAGACGTGTCCTCTGTCCTCCCTCCCCTCTACCCAATGGCGGTGAGCCAGTCCTGGGCCCGCAGAGGCTGGCACTGTCTGGATCCATCCTTAAATAGGCATCTCCTGACATTTAGGGGCCTACTCATAAAAAAAATGCATACCAATTAATTCAGTAAAAGTGCATGTACATTCCTTCTGTATGAGGTAAAAAAACAAAGAAACCAGGCCTGACATAGTAAATAAGGGGTTGATAGAAAATTTGTTGGTCGAGTATGATAAGCATTTGCCCAGCTGTGATCAATTTGGACCAGACTCTGTGATTTCCTATAATAGTCAGCTCCATCTAGTGGCCATAATGGGGCATTTGTTTCCTGAAATACCTCCATCAGCAAAAACAGAGCAATACTGCATTCTGGCCACAGATGGAGCCATTGGTCATAGGAAATCAGTGTACGAAATACAAAACATGACCGACATTTGTCATGGTTGGGTGAGTGCTGGTCACATTCATTTCATAATTTTTTTTAAAAAATACAACTTTACATGTTTGTGAAATCTTCCACCACAAAATGTACTCAGCCAATGAAAGGTGAGGACTCCATTTTTATTCTTCTCCTGCTATCAATGGCCAATCCGGTCCCACACTTCATTCACGTCTTTGGTGACCTCTGATCTCCTTATGAACTGTTTCTTCCATGATGAAGATCAGCCATGGAGTATATCTGAGGTGTATATCAGGGTGTGCTTCTTCCCCACATGAGACCTGGGATGTCCAGCAACATTCATCTAGAAGACATTTCCCGCACTCAAGGCACTAATACACCTCCAGGGCTGTGTGGGATCCCTGATGTACAGGAAGACAGGACTTCAGTGAGGAACAATTCCCTCACTCAGGACAGGAATACGGCTATTCCCCCCATGTTAGATCTCTGATGTATGACATGATCTGATTTCTGTACAAAACATTTCCCACACTCGGGACAGGAATACAACTTCTCCCCCGTGTGCAATTTCTGATGTACCACAAGTTGTGATTTTCTCATAAAACATTTCCCACAATCACAACAGGACTACAGCTTCTCACCTGTGTGCAATCTCTGATGACGATAAAGATTGGATTTATCTGAAAAACATTTTCCGCACTCTGGACAGGAATACGGCTTTTCACCTGTGTGCCATCTGTGATGTATGACAAGTTCTGATTTTCGCATAAAACATTTCCCGCACTCATAGCAGGAATACGGCTTCTCCCCCGTGTGAGATCTCTGATGATTGTAAAGATTGGACTTAACTGAAAAACATTTCCCGCACTCAGGACAGGAATACGGCTTCTCCCCCGTGTGAGATCTCTGATGTAAAACAAGTTCTGATTTACGTACAAAGCATTTCTCACACTCAGAACAGGAATACAGCTTTTCCCCTGTGTGAGACCTTTGATGGGTGACAAGCTTTGACTTTTCTATAAAACATTTCCCGCACTCAGGACAGAAAAATGGGTTTCTCCCCCGTGTGAGATCTCTGGTGCTTGCTAAGACTGGACTTGTGTGAAAAACATTTCCCGCACTCAGAACAGGAAAATGGTTTGTCCCCCGTGTGAGATCTCTGATGTAAGGAAAGATTGGACTTCTGTGAAAAACATTTCCCGCACTCAGGACAGGAATACGGCTTCTCCCCCGTGTGAGATCTTTTATGCACATTGAGCTCAGATTTATAATAGAAACCCTTCCCGCACTCAGTACAGGAGAAGCTCTTCCCTGTTGGAAGGCCGGCCCGGTCCCGCACAGTCTGAGGTTCCTCAGGATACGAGGAATCCGATGGTCCATCTACACTGGGTGGTGCCGGATGGACATTGGAGGGAGCCGGGTTTTCTCCTGGACTATACTGTGTGATGTCCTCATCTTCTACTTTCCAGTCTGGAGACAAAGTGAGACAATCCTCTGAGGTTTTCCTCATCTCCCGGCCATGGACTAAAATACAAAGACAAAGAGGATTACTAGACAGGAGCTGATTGGTTCCCCCAAACCAGGACTCCGCCCACATCAGGCAGCTTGGTCTCTGAGGAGCTTACAATTCCACCCTCAAGGGAACTAGGAAATGGCTCCTCTGATCTCCTACCAGGTCATTTCTTTATTCATGGACCTTAGTCAGAGAGTGAGGAAACAACCAGAACTGTCTTTTATAGGAGGGACAGTGATGAGGGGATTATAGGACGAGGGTCCCCACCCCCTCTATCACTCATCGCCATCTTCCCAACACAAGAAGTACTGCACTTCCTTATTTAGTCCATGATTTAGTCATGAAGAACAGCGGGGCTGAGCCCCACCAGAGGTCAGAGAGTGAGGATAGGGGGAGAAGATCCAAGATGAAGACTGGACTGATCCTGAAGACCACCATCATTGGGGTATTGACTCCTCCCTCATTATCACTTTGTGTTTAAGGGTCCAAAGTTGGAGGATGTTATCACATTATTATCACCATGTAAAAGTCTGTATTGCTGCCAAGTTTATCCCCAGACTGCTGACCCAGGAGCAGAAGGAACACCACGTCGAAGTCTGCCAAGCACTCCGTCAGCAAGCCGTGGATGACCCGCCCTTCATCCCGAGGATCATTACCGGTGACTAAACTTGGGTGTTCGGGTTTCATGCAGAATTTCACGTTTGCTCTTTGTTGTAACTTGCTGCCCATGATAGAATAGCAGGTGCGGTAATGCATGTGATCAGAATAGCACCAGTTGCACAGCTCCCGATATACCCAGGATGATGTCTTTAGGCACACTGACTTATGAAGGTCGGTGCTCCCTGTGCGCGTAGGCTTGTACTGCCATCTGTTGGCATGTTACAAAACTAGTCTGGAAACTTTTTGATATCGCCTCGTATAGGGTACAACAGTTAGAAATATATAGTATCAGAATTCTATAATGTGCAACAAATGATATAGTGTAATGGTCAGGACTCATAATATTGGTGTTCGATAATCAGAGGTAGCTGAAATGTTTTCTTAACCCCTCACCATCCAGAGGATCCCCCATTCCTGACCAGGCCATTTTTTGTGATACAGTGCTGTGTTACTTTAACTGACAATTGCTCAGTCATGCAACGCTGCACCCAAATAAATTCCAGTCTATATACCGCCATTTGTAAACGCTATAACTTTCACGTAAACCAATTAATTTACACGTATTGGGATTTTTTGTTTAGCAAAGACACAGAGCAGAATACATTCTGACCTAGAATTTATAATGAAATTTGATTTTTAAAATTTTTTTATTGGACATATTTAATAGAAAAAAGTAAAAAATATTTTTTTTTCTCAAAATTGTTGGTCCTTTTTTTTTATAGCGCAAAAAATAAAAAAAAGCACAGGCAATCAAATACAACCGAAAGAAAGCTCTACTCATGGGGAAAAGGACGTAAATTTAACTTGGGGGCAGCTTTGCATGACCGCGCAATTGTCAGTTAAAGTAACGCAGCGCCATAATGCAAAAAATGGCCTGGTCAGGAGGGGGGGGGGGGGGGGGAAATCCTCTGGAGGGCGAGGGGTTAATTGATCTGTACACAATATTGCTTACAGTCTAACTTTTCCAAGTTGTCAAACCAGTTGGTCTGTGATATACCGTATTTTTCGCTCCATAAGACGCACACTAGGTTTTAGAGGAGAAAAACAAGAAAAAAAAATATTCTGAGCCAATGGACTGCAGACATAGTACAGGAAGTGACCAAACACTGCGGACATAGTACAGGAGATGACCAGAGACTGCGGACACAGTACAGGAGATGACCAGACACTGCGGACATAGTACAGAAGATGACCAGAGACTGCGGACACAGTACAGGGATGACCAGAGACTGCGGACACAGTACAGGAGATGACCAGACACTGCGGACACAGTACAGGGGATGACCAGAGACTGCGGACACAGTACAAGAGATGACCAGAGACTGCGGACACAGTACAAGAGATGACCAGAGACTGCGGACACAGTACAAGAGATGACCAGAGACTGCGGACACAGTACAAGAGATGACCAGAGACTGCGGACACAGTACAAGAGATGACCAGAGACTGCGGACACAGTACAGGAGATGACCAGAGACTGCAGACACAGTACAGGAGATGACCAGAGACTGCGGACACAGCACAGGAGATGACCAGAGACTGCGGACACAGTACAGGAGATGACCAGACACAGTACAGGAAGTGACCAGACACAGTACAGGAAGTGACCAGACACAGTACAGGAAGTGACCAGACACTGCGGACACAGTACAGGATGACCAGACACTGCGGACACAGTACAGGAGATGACCAGAGACTGCGGACACAGTACAGGAGATGACCAGAGACTGCGGACACAGTACAGGAGATGACCAGAGACTGCGGACACAGTACAGGAGATGACCAGAGACTGCGGACACAGTACAGGAGATGACCAGAGACTGCGGACACAGTACAGGAGATGACCAGAGACTGCGGACACAGTACAGGAGATGACCAGAGACTGCGGACACAGTACAGGAGATGACCAGAGACTGCGGACACAGTACAAGAGATGACCAGAGACTGCGGACACAGTACAGGAGATGACCAGAGACTGCGGACACAGTACAGCAGATGACCAGAGACTGCAAACAGTATAGGGGATGACCAGAGACTGCAAACAGTATAGGGGATGACCAGAGACTGCAAACAGTATAGGGGATGACCAGAGACTGCAAACAGTATAGGGGATGACCAGAGACTGCAAACAGTATAGGGGATGACCAGAGACTGCAAACAGTATAGGGGATGACCAGAGACTGCAAACAGTATAGGGGATGACCAGAGACTGCAGACAGCACAGGGGATGACCAGAGACTGCAGACAGCACAGGGGATGACCAGAGACTGCAGACAGCACAGGGGATGACCAGAGACTGCAGACAGCACAGGGGATGACCAGAGACTGCAGACAGCACAGGGGATGACCAGAGACTGCAGACAGTACAGGGCATGACCAGACACTGCAGACCTTTAGGGAGGGAGGGGGAGCGGGTACCTGAATTTGACAGGTACCCGCTCCCACTTCCGCGGAGTTCTCCTTCCTATACTGTGGGCACCCGACTTTGACAGCCGGGTGCCCACTGCGCACGCGCGAGAAGCACCGTGCTTTGTGAATGGCCCGGCGTCTTTTGGGACCTGTCATGTGCTTCTCGCACATGCGCAGTAGGCACCCGGCTGTCTCAAATGCCGGGGCGGGAAGAAGCCAGCGCGGGAAGACTACAGCGCTGGACCGAGGAACAGGTGAGTTCCTGCCGCAGAGAACAGCTGAGCGGCTGGCCCGGCATTCTGACATGGTGGCGGCGGAAATATCGGACCGGCCGCTTTATATTCGCTCCATAAGACGCACTGACATTTTCCCCCCTTTTTTTGGGGGAAAAAAGTGCGTCTTATGGAGCGAAAAAATACGGTAATTCTGATCCTGGGAAACCTTAACGTGGCTGTCAAGAAATGCACGCCCACAGCGACTAGCTAACCAGGGCAAGCAACTTTACTTGAGGTAAGAGAATGAGGGGGACTTATTCTGAGCACTAGGACTGGCAGGATTACACTATCACAGCCTGCACTACCATTGGCCACCACTACAATCTGGTGGACTCTAAGGGTTGGGGAGCAGTCTAGCAATTGGCCCACCCTTCTAGGATTCCTCCAGTTATCCTACAAGCTAGAACCCCGGTGTCCATCACTCTTCCACTGTCCACACACCCCCCACAACAATTGGTAGCTTGCCACCACCCAACAGTTTGTCTACAGACTGGTCTGCTAGGCAACCACACACACACACAGATCTCCATCTGGCAGAACTGCTAGTTTTGAATCTGCCAACACGCAGTACAACTGCATTCAGATTGACAATGAACTTAGACCGAGCACATAAACACTACAATACAACATTCTCTCCAGGGATATGAGTCCTAGTTTAGTACACAGAAGTCACTTATTAATTTTATAATTTAATATCCTGAAAGTGGGCGGTGCATAAAATATGTACAAAGAAAGTTACAAAGGATACAAAAAAAAGACACAAAGACACACAACTGGCTAATCACTATGAAAAGAAAGAGGGTTAAAACAGAAAAAAAATATTTTACCAAAATTTATCCTGTGACTGGAGCAAGTCAGAAGAAAGTCTGCGATTCACCAGTCAAATGGGACCGGCTCCGTTGGAATCACCCCATCTATATCTCACGCTCCTCAATTTATTGAAATATGGATGTGGGCTGGACTTTAGCCTTTGGTCAATCAACCCTGGGGGGTGTTCCTGTACCGGTGCACAGGACATTCTGTGTGACCAGAGTTAAATGGTCCAGGAACGGTTCTGATGGCTGGGTTGGGGATAGGATTTCCAACACCAGCGCTTCAGTCTGATCACGACAGTACTAATCACCGCCTGGCTGCTGCAATCAGGCGCCCTATAACCGTTTTGTGAGTTTCTCTGAGATTCTACAGTTTTTTACATGCACATGTAGCCTGCAATGTGTCCAATCAGAAGGAATTGTTTTCATCTCTCCGCAAATAATATTTTAGCTTTTATGAGAGATGAAATGGATCTGTAGATATGAATCCAAGCGGCAGGGCTTCTCACTGTCCTTGTAGACCAAATGACTAGGACTCTTCTTTTGGAGACTTAAGGAAGGTGGCAATGTCTACATGGATGGGAAAGTTTTATTGG